TTTTTTTTTTGAAGAAAACCAAATAAATAAAAATAAGTGTGCCATTTTGACAGCTACCACCCACTTTTATTTCAACAATATTTCTCATAATGGGAGCACTAAGACAGATTTGTAGTCCATGAAAAATTTAATTATAATAATCACAATCATCAAACGACCAAAAATAAAATTCATGCATAATTGTGAGACGAAATTGGCAACTAAATTTCAATATATGAAAATGAAATTTAAATGGACAATTAGCAACGACATTTAAAATATTTCAACAAAATATAAAGTCGTCAATTTTAAATATAATTTTAATTTTAGATCGAAATTGAAACATAGTGGATCAAATTTAAAAATCTCATTTTTAAAACTTTAAATTTAATATTTCAAAATTTGATCCCAAAATTAAAATTATGATGAGGACCACAAAACTTATAAATTACATAACAAGTCCTTATTATTAAATTACAGATTGACCCTAGGTTAAATTGTAGGAGAACCCCCTAAAATCTACAAATTGCAGGAGGAGCCATGATTGTTAATTGCAAGAAATATCACCCTTTTCATAAGTGCACGTAAGCCCCCAAAGAATCAGAATTTGCAGTGAGGCCCCGTCTCCAAAATCAATTGAAAAAAAAAATCTTGACAAAACTCTAGACTAATTCTCTCCTCTCTTGCCGCCGCCGCCGGCCAAATCCATATCCTCGCAGCCCACGAGACCGGCAGTCGGCGGCTGCAAAAAAAAAATGCAGCCCCAAGCTGCATCGCAGCAGCGTGCGCGGTAGTAAGCTGCTCCAAACGAGCAGCGGGACAGCGAGCACGCTGCTGCAGCAGCGTGTGCGCAAGTTGCTCCAAACAAGCAGCGGGACAGGGAGCACGCTGCGATTTTGCTGGAGGTTCCCAGAAGCCAGCATTCAAATAATGGATTTGGTAGAAGATATATACATACACACAGACGGGAAGCACGAACGAGGGCAGAGGCGAGAAGCAGATATCACAGTGAATCAACTGTTTATACACACATACGCATACAGACAGGGAAGCACGAAAGAGGGCAGAAGCGAAATACCAGCTTCGTTGATGAGGATTGTAACGACGAAAACCAATAGTACAAAACTCTCCCTCTCTGTATGCTTATATCTGTGTATGTACAAGATTGTGGGTATACAATTAATTGAAGAATTATGCTAGATGTATGGATTAGATCTTCCTCACATGGGGGGCTCATGAATATTTCATGTGAGGAGCCGTAATCCATTGTGTAACTCATACATCTAGCATAACTCTTAATTGAAATGCAGTTTGTAATTATCTTAGTGGTAATTGCAAAAACATATATGCACATATGGATGAGCAAGAGAGGAGACGAAAATTCAAAAAATCAATTTTATTTTAATTTTATTATATTTTTTATATTTAAAAGATTCTAATTTTAGCATGCTCGCTCTGATACTAATTGTTGAAATTATTCAATATATTCATGCTAAGAATAAGAATCACATAGTTAATTGATAGTTTGAAATTCATACATATGGAAGACATTGTTATTTATGAATATTACCAGCTAAATCTTCTTCTTCTTGCTCCTTACAAATAATCAGCCGTCAATATGGCAAGCCAAAACCATATGGAGAGGAGAGGGGACCTAGCACTATATAGGAAATCATAAAGTCGGCTCATTACCGACTCTAACCATAATTAGAGTTTACTTATTTCCGACCCACATACTTAAAATTACCACATTATAAATAATAAAGTATGTAAGGCGTATAACGACCCACGTGATCACTAACATATTGGTCTAATCATAGTATCATTACAAACCATACATGTAACCCGTAAAATTCGCAATCAAATGGAAGTCCACATAGTAGAATTATTCTAACATTTGCTACTATTTAAACCCTAATTACTTTGTACATGTGTTCCACGTTTACAGCATGCATATCGTGATGGTCAGCTGGAGGAAGTGCTTCTTCGCCATCTTGGGGCAGAAGATGGAAACACGGTGATTGCTAAAAATGTCAGGTTTGTGTTTTTCCTCTAATTTGTGTTCTTACTCAGTTCTTTTATTGTGTTTCCCTTTTTCCTTGTCTGATCCATTTATTCGTGTTCAACGATGATGCTTTCAGGCTCTCGGACTTTCTTAGTAATTTACAGATCCGTTGATGGAAGCTTTAAAGTTTCCTGGAAACGTTCAGGTCTGTTTTCTTGTACTACTTCCACACTTGCCTGTAACTTTTGTGTTAGGAAAACTTTTCTGAGTTTCCGATTTTTAGATGATTCCATTTGTGTTCTTAAAAGATGGTGCATCTGTAGCATCAATATAAATAAATATGGGGTTGAAGCTTGATCTCGTGTAACTTGTCTCATCCAGTTACACCTTATGTTTTATTGTGCGTCCAACTGCAGTAGTACATTTACACTCCGTATGTTTCTTTTAATCGTTTAATTGGGAAGTTTTGCATGTGCCATATTTCTATTATCATTCCTGAAAGGCCATTTAAGCTTCAGTATCATCGATTGTAGTCCGTAATTGTTTCTACTTTTTAACCACACATTCTCCAAAAAATCACTATTACCAAATTTATTTTTCCCAAAAAATAGGGCTCAAACAAGAGCTATGAGCTATGCTATTGAAACCATATAATTACAACTGTTTTTTTTTTACTCAACCCCAGTACCTGCAGGGGCATTTGGCAGCATACTGATGTAATTTTCAAACAGAAGAATATGAATTATTGACGGGTACAAAGTTGTTTTTACCTAAGGTGAGATTCTAGGTATTTGTACAATATTACCGAGATGTTATTCATTGGAAGTATCGGTAACTATGGGATCAATCATTGATGGTTATTTACATATTGCTTTGTTAATACAAAGGTCATCAAAATAAAATTTGTGAAAAATGGTTTTACATGTAGTCGGACTATTTACCGCATTAAAAGTTAGCAGTGTACAATACGTCTGGCACTGGTTTTTTGAGGGTAATCTGTTTTGTGATGTCAAATTTGGCAGTTGTCTTGGCATGTATTTTCATTATATAATTTGGCAGTTGTCTTGGCATGTATTTTCATTATATTATACCTCTATAAGATAAATTGTTTGAAATTGATTTTTTTTTTCATTGGACCAGGTGTAATAATTTGAATTTCCTTGTGTTAACTTGGTCGTTTGTGGTCTCATGTGGCCGGAGCCGGGGGGGGGGGCACTGCTGTTGAAGGAGCTTGGCTGGCAAGCCGTTTTGGCTGGTTTTTCAGCGTTGGCGTGGGATGGTGTTGGTGGTGTGCTGGCGTTTTGTTGGTTGTTGATTGGTGGTGTGTGTTTGCTGATTTGTTTGGTTCGGTTGATTTCGTTAAGGGTTTCGCTTTTGTTGTTTT